GAATGAGGACATGATCAATGGGATGCGTGGTGGCCAAGTGAGTTGGCAGGTCATCCACTGGCAGGTGCTGACAGGCTAGACAGTGGGCTTCAAGGCTCGGGCGTAGGTGTGGCTGGCGCCAGATGGAGGCATAGTTGGCAGCAGTGATCATGGCCAACAGGTCTGCCGGTACCTGGGACCGTTGTTGTGGTTGAAAAAGGTGGCCTAGTACTCCGGCTTGCAAAATGATAGGGCATTTGTGGCCCGATCTGGCCGAGCGCGGCACCGGGCAGTAGCATGGTGGAGCTTCTGGCGGAGCCTGGCTGTAGGCATGCTGGATCCAGGCCTGAGCGGCTGTCATGGTGTCTGCATGATCATGGTATAAGTGCTTTGCGATGCCGGTGGTGTTCTGGATTCTTCTTCCACAGAGGCCACATTGTTGTTGCAGGGCTTCCTTCAATCGAGGGTCCGTGAGCCATTCTGAGGGCTTGCCACGAGCACATAGCTGCTGGACCCACGGCCACTGTTGGGGAACATGGTCACCAGCTCCCCGGTTAGCGTCAAATCTCTTGCAGGCCAGGGATTCTACATGCATACGAAGGCCATAGAAGTTGTTGAAGGTGTTCCCGCAATGTGCACATTGGGTAGTGCCATTGGCTGAGTCTCGGGCAGGTTGAAAGGTGGCTGCCTCGGCTGCCGCGCCAGCCTGTGCACGGAGGGCGGACTGGGAGAGCTTCCCCTGTGAAGGTCGAGGGGGTGCTACCAGTTCATCAACAACTTCACTGCCCCGCATGTGGTGATGTTCCAGGTAAGCCACGATGGCCAACTGGCTGGCCGCTGGACAGGAGTGGAGGCGGTTGGTGGTGTTGCCACATCCAATGCAAGGTCTGCTGGTGGTGACCGCTCGTGCAACCGGACTCAAGAAGGCTTGTGCTGCGCGCCAGATCTTATGATGCATGCGGCTCAGGTGTTCATGGATGGCTTTCCCACTAGGCTGCCATTGTGCACATAGGATGCATCGATGGCGAATCATTTCCAGCAACCGCGCAGTTCCCACTGCACCCAGCCAGTCCTGCTGTCTGACTGCTTGCCGTAGTTCATCATCATTTGCCGGACACGGTCGTTCCTGCAGGGTTGCATCAAATGTCAAGCAACGTCCAAGTGAGATGTGCTTGACAAGGCCTGACCAGAGCTGGAACCGGCCATGGCAGTGTCGGCATTGCGGCATGTCGCCTGCAGCATCTCGAAAAACTTTGAACGGTTGTGGAGGTAGCTTGAGGGCAGGATGATTACGTGTGATGTGTTGCATCAGGGACATGTGGGAAGGCATGCTAGTCGAACAGTGCGGACAGTTCCAGGCTGCCTTTGGTTCATCGACTTCGACTGGCAGCTTGGGGACCAATGCCTCCAACTGGTCTTCAAAATGCTCGGCATATGGTAGAGTGTGCAAAAAGTCAGATGACGGAAGGACTAGAAGGAGGCCTGCTCGCTCATCTCGGAGTCGTGTCCAGGTGGTACGTAGGAAGTCTCGAATGCTGGGAACACCCAGTCTGGATCGAAGAGCCTCGGTGGTTTCTCTAGTAATATGAGATGGAGAGCGTGCTATTCGTCTGAGGTCAATGGTGCACACCGTTTCAAGCAGTTCAACTCCTTTTGGGGTAAGACCACTTGCCGACAAGCCATACACATATGAGGCTCTCACGCAGCTGGTCCACAGGCGGACTCGGCTGCCAAGGCTAAATGCGTGCCGGCGTTGGAAAAATGCTCGAAGACGGGTGTATGTCAATCGGCCAACATGTATGCGATGTTTTAAAGTCTGCATCTCGAAGGGGCCATAGCTTATCTGCGTTCCAAGATAGGTATGTTTGGAGACCCATGGAATGAGACTATCCCCATGTTGGCGGGGCACCACCACATGCTTGCTGCCTTTGATGGTTTTGGTCCATCGTTTAAACAGCCCCGCCACCTTCGAGCCGGACATTCGGAGCAGTACTGCAGTTTTGCGCAGATTGACTACCAGCTGATTCGACTCGAGGACATCTAGCAGGTGACCGATGTCTACCAAGGCTTGTGGGAAGTCTGCAAGGCAATCGAACTCCCATTTTAGCACAAGGTCATCAGCATATGAGATCAGGTGAGCCCTCAACCACTCCAGCGGTTGGTCAATGCGAACTAAAAATTGCATCAGAATATCAAGCAAACACACATTCCACTGGAGTGGGGAAGCAACACAGCCCTGGCGTGTTCCCCTTGTGGGAATGATGTGGCACGTCTGTCCCCGGTGATCTATGTGGTACGCGGCTCCATGTAGCCAGGCTAGGAGGAGGACCTTTAGATCGGAGGGGCAATGAACTTGATCTAAACCCGGTCCAAGCCTATCCCTTGGCATGCGGTCAAACGCTTCAGAGAGATCCAGACTTAAGCATAGTCCTCCACCTATGCGACGCGGTGCCTCACCCGCCCGTCTCTGCCATAAGTTTTTCATGGCACTCTGACTCCTGGCGCGAACAAGACGGCAATGGTGGAAGACCGCAATCAGAGCATCGATGGTTGATCGACTGGGTAAGTATCCCAACAGGGGGGCCTGACAAAGACTCGGTAAGACATGCGGCCGGACCTTCTGGATCAAGGTTTGAAGCACGCACTTCCCCAGGATGTCCGTCAGGGCAATGGGCCTGACATCTTTCGGTGTGTGCACCGCCCTCTTTGCAATGAGGGTAAGCCAGGCCGCCTGCCAGTGTTGGGGAATCGTGACCTTACGGTGACACCACATACGGATGAGGATCGAATGACAAATCTGGGCAAGATCATCTGCTAGGCCTCGTACCACAGCTGGCTGGAGTGAGCCAGGGGCCACTGCCTTGGTCATGGAGACTCGTGCCAAATTGTATCGGAGGTCGTCAACCGTGAATGGCACGCATGACAGACGAACAGAGGGACTTGGCAGCTGAGGGGTAGACCCACAGTAGACGTTCTCGAAATGCTGTCGAAGGAGGTCCAGTTCGACCTCAGGGCTCTGGGCAAGCCCCGTGACTGCTCGAAATCGGATAGGCCGCTGGGGTTGCTTAGGACTAAGTTCACGGACAATCAGGTGGAGTCGACGCTGATCATGGACTCGATCAGCCTGCGCAGCGCGGGTCATTTGCTCTTGGAAGCGGACCCGTTTCTGCTGGCGGGTATGTGCAATCATGTCTTTATGCAGGCGACCATGCTTGGTGGCATGCAGCCATGCTTGAAAGCTCGAGCGAAGGTCAGTGACCACCAAGCGCCTGAGTTGGTGGTAGTGATACCACATGTTGGCAGCATACCTGTGACTGGTGGGGTGACGCCAGTCCGGTTCCGGTCGTGCAGTATGACAGTGGGGTGTCCAGTATTCTTGAGACCAAGTACTTAGCTGGGTTAGAGTGGACCAAGTGGGGTGATCAACATGCAGCCTGGCCTTGGCCTGTGGGACGAACAGCTGCCAGGCTTCATCTTGTTCCCGACAATGCTGCTGCAGTTCCTGGCGTTGAGTCCAGGTCCACCGTCGGGTCCGGGGTTGAGGGAGCTTGCGCCAGACCTTCCAACTTACTGGCAGACTGCTGAGGATGGGCAGGTGGTCTCGAAGGCCCCTCCACCCTGCCACAGGAAAGGTCTGATACACTCGACTATGTTTGACTTGGGCATCTTGTTGACAACGCCTCATGAGTACATGATCGATCGACGAGGTGCCTCCTGGGCCTTCGAAGGTGTGTGCATGGTCGTAAGTACGAACCGTGGCAAGCGTGTGCTTGCGGCAGAGCTCTCGAAGTTCCCAAGCGTCCTGCGGCTCAGGTGATTGTCTATGAAGTTCAGTGTTGAAGTCTCCTGCAACTACAAGAACATTCCTGATAGGAAGATGCGTGAGGATGGTGTCCAGTGAGGACCAGACCTCAGCTCTACTGTCAAAGGGTTTAGCTCTGGTAGAGGTGACTTCAGTGGTATACTGATATACATGGACTATTTCAAGAGTCGTCTGGGCAAGCCGACATTTGACATGTTGCACCCGACCAGGGATTGGCGAGGAACTTGACAAGTCCTACTGTCCGCACAGTCTGTGGTGGATCAATGTCAACAAGCCACCATGGTCTCTACGGTCCTCCGTGCCTGCAGAAAGGGCCCAATACCCATATGTGCTCCAGTCTTTGGTGTGGTTCCAGCGGGTGCCCTGAATGCATGCAACGTCAACAGCATGATGACTGAGGTACTGCATGAGCTCTTGCCAAGTGGCGCTGGTGAGTCCTCCGGCGTTCCACGAAAGGAAGGAGCAGCGTGGACCGCCAAAGCGCGAAAGTGGAGCACAGGGCCTCTGCAGAAAGGGAAAGGTCGTCCATGTCGAAGGCTTGCAGGTGCCGCCAGTCATGGAGGAGGTCGGAGGGGTAGTCTGTGGCGGAGGCATGCCCAGTGGCTCCGAAGGTGTCATCAGCAAGCGCCCTTTGTACGAAGTGCAACCATCCCTCATCAAACGGTGCATCGCTCTTTTATAGCTCTTCTTCGTGCTCCAGGTTGAGCAGTGCCCTTTTGCCCCGATGGGGCCTTCTGGGTGCCCTTTCCACCCACGATTATTTTGGAGGGAGCTTGGGGGTACGTGACCGACCTGGTCTCCTCCTTCCTTCGTCGTGGACCGAAGGAAACCCTCACCTCTCGTGGACCAAAAACTTTGCGAGTACATGCCAAGTTGCAAGGGTCCACGCCCGGACTTGGGACCGGGATGCTCAAAGATCAGCCAAGCGAGCAGCAGCTGCGTGAAGATCAAGCCAGCGGCTACCATTCAGGATCGTGCAGGGGCGTTCGACAGGAGCGTAACCCCGCTACTGGGGGGCTGGCATGTTGGCCATCTTGAGCATAGAGGCTTGAGGCACAAGAGGAGGACACAGGGTTGGCCAGCGCGGCCAAGGGACAACAGCAGGTCCCTGGTGAAGTCTTTCATTCCTTGATGATTTGTAGCAGCGGTTTGCCGGAGTCAAGCTGATCCTGATATGTTGTCGCTTTCCAACATTCAGGACCTTGCATTGCTGGAAGAGAATCAGCGCCCATTCATCCTGTGGGCAGCTTGGTGCCGGGGTTTTGTGAAGTTTTTGCGCTCTGTAGCCTGAAGGCTTGCCTTCATGATGTTCCGCATACCTTCCGTACACACTTCAATTGAGGCGGAAACAATACGTACCACATCATTGTTGAAAGGAATCGGAAAAGTTTGTTGGGATACCGGATGGCAGCCGGAAAAACAAGGCTCTAATTAATTTGCCAAGGGGATTTTAAAATGCACCTGTCGGGGCATGCTTCACGCTATATACCCATCCAGGCTTGGCTTAGAACTGCCTCAAAGAAAATCCTGGAGATCTTGCTCTCCAAGTTGCCACATCCCAGCACCCCAAAGATGACCAAGGTCAATTCCAAACATGAAGTATGCTACTCCTTGCCTGTGGGATTGCTTGACATGCTGGCACCTTGGTGATTGTTGTTCAACACAGGCCTGCAGATGTGTGATGCATGCAGTAGTTTACGCGTCAAGTTGAGCATTGTGCATTTTGAAAGCATTCAAGGTGTCAGAGGCCGACTTCGTGCCCGGTACATTTGGTCACAGAACCGCTGCTTCCTTGCTGTGCTAGTGGGATGCCCAGTTAGTGCTTGAAAGCTGCTGTTTTTGGGGCATACGGCATAAGTGAGAGTCAACAGGTTGTGGTTGGCCACTCCTGCGGCACCTGGTGTGCCAAGGTGATGCTATGGTCACTCTTTCAAACAGTGGCCTTCATGGTTGTGCGCCCGTCAAGCTTGCAGCAGCTGCAGTGTCAGGTCTTTTGCCATAGCTGTCAGGTAATGTACCCCTTCTCTTTGCTGGTATGCCGAGCTCTTAGCGCAGCGACTCACCATGCTTGGAAAATGCACATTGGCACATTGATGTCAAAGTGTGGGTTGCGTTGCCAGCTTACCCCGGCCAGGCGTTTATGCTCCAGTGAAGATGTCGCGGATCATGGTCACGCCCCCAGTGTCAAGTCTTTCGCCCATCGGTTCTCCACGCTCTCAGACTAAGGTCTTTCTTTCCTCAGTTCTTTGTGTTCTATGGTCGGTGGTCTTTATGGTCACCATTTCACTGGTCGACACCCAGCCGTTGCAAACTCAGGGCCCTTGATTGGGTGAGAGCGTTACCGTTACATTGAAGCTTCTGGCAAGGTATGCGGTGATTTGGGGCATTTCCGAGTCGTCCATCAGCTGCCTTTGCCTTTGTGAATTTCCATTGAACAGGCTTTGTTTTTCTTGAAAGTTGTCAGCTTGGCTGCCACTGTCTCTTGAAAGCATTGAGCCACTTTGGGCAGGCCGGTCGTTTTGCGGATCCTAGTCCTGGGCACCGGGATGCCAGGAACTGAAATGAATCTGACTTGAAGGTTCTGGAGCAAACGATCATGTTCACGGTTCGTGGCATTCAGGTGTTGGCACTCCATAAACCTAACGCTGCGTGCCCTCAAAGGGCTGCGCAGAGCACAGTGGGCCAACATGCCGCTTGTCAAGAGGATGCACCTCACGCAAAGCATAGCCAATCACGATCAAAGTTCAAGTGCACATGGACTGCTGCGATGCACTGAACGTCTTGGACTTCTAAGGTTTAGTGTGCTTTATTCGGTTCCTGTGGAAGCATTCCCAGTTGTGTGGGAAAGGCCGCAGGCCCATGGTGCAGCTCAAACCATTGAAAGCCTATTCAAAGTGCTGCATGATGCGTGTCAAAACACCATGCATTGCATAGGGTTGGATCGAGCCCGTACGGAATGCCAATCAGGAAGCAGATCTGTAAAAAGATGATTTGTCGACCCACCATTTCACAGACACTGACCTCGCCTTGGTAGGAAGCAGGCGGCGGGTCCATTCGGTGGAGGAAAGAGGGCGAGGCAGGTTGAAGATGGTGAAGGGGTTGAATCGCATCTGAAGGTTGAATGATCGTTAAAAAGCTGCAAAGCGTGTGTGTGGCTTTTGACAGAATTGGCATGAATCATGAGCATGACTGCAGGCTGTGCAGTCCGAACCTGCCTTCGACCCTTTCTGCCTAATGGACTCCTTTGGGATGAAAACTTGTGCAGTCGGACAATCAAGAACTGTTTGAAGGAGCAGTTGTTCTACTGAGGTAGTTTGGCTTGACAATTGCCTAGCTGCACTCAGCTTGTGAGCCTTGAAGATAGCAAGAACAATGGTGAGGTGACATTCCTCACACCAATATATATATATATATATATATTTGTTTTTTTGAGATCTTTATGCTGGCCCATGCCATTGCCCAAATCCAAGCCCCAGCGTGAACTCTTCAAACACCCATGGCGAATTCACCCCTCAGCTTTGAGACATGTTCTACTTCGGGCCCAAGTCCCAACCACACAATAGCTGCTAGTAGCTGGTGGGCTTCAGGATTCTCCGAAGATTTTAGAAAAGAGAACTCCTGAAACTGTGAGACCACTTCATTCCCCAGGAACCCCTGTCAGGCCATCGTGCTATTTGTCCTGAACCCCAGAATGCTAGAACAACGGGTCCCGGCTTGCTGGGTTGAAAAGCTGCGTTCATTGCGTGGCTTGGCTGCCAAGCCCATATGCCATAATACTCCATCGGGTTCCGGGCTGGCTGAATGACTACCCAAGACAGCTATTTCGTTCTGGCGTTCCTTTAGTAAAATGAAACTTTAGCACTCTCCATGCCAGCCAAGCAGTTGCCGTGTCGACACTCATCTCCAACTCCGCAACACAAGTTAGAGGGTAAAGGTCGATGAAGGAGAAACTGTTCCTGAACCAGGGTACCCTGTGCGCCTGAGGGGGTGTTCACAACACTTGATAAGCTCAAGCATCCCAGTAAGGTCTCGCAATGCAAGGGGAACAGTCACCGCTATGAGCGTTTTGGAGCACCCTCTAAGAAACAGAGCTGCTGATAGTTACCAAGCAATCCTGAACACTGTGAACTTGATCAGTTGCTTGTGTCCAGCGCTTGCAGCCGCAAGGATGAGCAGCCCGAAAGTGCCAAGTTCCCAGATGCCGCTGGATCCATTCACATACTGAAGCACGAAAAAGCCATTCTGATACCGATGCTGTTTCATGATTTCGTGCTACTGCCAGGCATGGACCCGTGCTATTATCGCCCCTGTGCCAGCGAAGGAGATGTTCATGCTTATTTGTCATTTGGCCATTCATTTGTTCTACTGTGTTTACATGCCCCATTAGGATCTGAGAAAAACGAGAAACCTAAATCAATTGAAGAAGAAACAGTATTTCATGTTTATAATGTTTATACTAAAAGTGTATCGGAAACACATTGCTTTTTTAGAGAACTTATAATGGAGTATTAGAAGATGGAACTTGTAGATCCAAGATGGTAGAGTTTCCATTGCAAGGCCTTCGGCACATTTTGCAAGGCAGTTCCACTGTTATAGGTGGTCAGAATACAAATTAAGGATTGCTGGATGAAGCTAGTTCAAGAGCTTACCAGCTCCTGGGGTAGAAAGATCACATTTTTCAGCGAGCATCATTTGCAGCAACGAAGTAACAATAAAGATCCACTAAGACAGATCTCGTTTGCACCGTAGAGTGGACTATGGAACCAAGCAGTTTGGAAACCACATCAGAACTGGCTGCATTACACAAAAAAAATGTATATTAATATGTTCTACGAAATTCTGGCTGCAATGAGCTAACTATCGAACACCAGAATGTGTAGCGTTGATAAAGAATATTAGATCCAGATTATTGGCTGCGCCAACGCCTCGCGCAAATTCGGCGGGACAGGGTGGCGCGAGAAGCAAGAAGCTCGTCAATGCAAGATTGAATACAATCTCCGCTTGCAACTGCAGGATGACTCGCGTTTGAGCGCCAGAAACCTAGCTGAAATGAGTGCAGCACACCAGCCTGACGGCTTCGTATGGTCTTAGGTTTGGGAGCCATACCTTGGCACTTTGGATATGGAGATCGGCACGCCTGACACAGTCTACATACTGTAAATAACTCTACACTGAGAAAACAATTTCAAGAACTCGAAAATCTAAGAGGTCATACTTTCTCAAGTTCATATTAAAGCCGCTTAGTGTTCAACAGGCTCAGAGCTTTTGCTAGGCTGGTGCGGCTTTCCACGCCCTGTTGGCGGGGAGCAGCCCTTGGTCCCCATGGCAAGATTGAAATCCATCAAGCTTCAGCTAAGGCGTGGGAAAAAGATTGTTCGGATGTGGAGAGCAGCAGTGCGTTGAAAGCTCCTGATGACCGAGAATCACCCCAACCAGCAGTGCCCTCAGCCGTGGGGAGGCAGTTCTATGATCCGCGCTTCAACATGTATACTATAACACATGCAGCGCGACAGAAATGGAAAATCTTCACATAGACACGCATGGGGTCAAGAAAAGAGCGCACGGGGTTGTGTGCAGATGTTGCAAGCTGCTGGTGGTTTGGCGTTTTGGTTGCAATATGTTGCAATGAGGAGTTGCAAGCGACCGTGTCCAACGGCCCGCCTCTTGGTTGCTAGCCCCACGATTGCGCGCGGATGGTTTTGTATCAGGCAGTGACGGCCAAAACGGGCAAAATGGCAAGCACGGGGGAGGCGCAGCTATGCTTGCCGATCATGTTTTGCATGTGTGGCACACCAGCAGCATCCTCATCAAGTCTTTACCTGTCCGCCAGGTCAATGGTCCCGCAAGGTAGGCTTGATGGCCACTTTAGTTTGAAATTTGCTGGATGTGTTTGCCGAGGTGAAGCCCCGGCCTCCTCCTATGCAAGAGCTGGAAGTTGAGGCTTGACTCCTTCTGCCCACCAAGCTTATGACAAAGCCATAGTCAGATTGGAGCGGGAGTGCGGAGAATCTTGAACATTGCGCCGCTTCATTTGTGTGTGTCTCAGGGAAGCGAGGATGACCAGTCGGGACTCAGCAAAGTCTTCGACACACCGGGCATTCATTGCTTGTCTCATGAGGCTGGAATCGCTGCATGACTGGGAGAGTGACTGCGCCGCGAAAAGCAGGCAACATGCAGTTCCGGACCTCACTTTTTCAGTTACAAGTTGCAAATGCCTACTGGACTACTTCCTGCCGCAAGATGTCGCAAGTCTTGGCGTGGTGAGGCCAGGCTCCTGCTCGAACATCTACAATCGTCGCTTGTCAGATGCACAAGGCATTTTCCATATAGAAGGCCCGGACTGGGCAGCTACTCGGAAAAGGGTTCAAGCGGATACTGTAGTTGCAAAAGAATATAAATTCCTCCTGCAACAGGAACTTCATGCAGCAAGCTCCTGCCAGTAAACTGAGTTGCGAGTTTAGTTTCATTGCATCTTGTGAACAGGAAAAGGCAATATATATATAGTACAAAACGCCATGTTCAATAGTTGCAGAATTCTTGATATACTGAATAGTTGCATGGTCACCATCCTAATCTCAGATGGTTCCTTGACTCCTGTGGAAATCAATATTCCTGCTAGCAAGAGGTTTGCAGGAAACTGGGAGGATGGATTGAGAAATTAGTTGGAGGAGACATGCGAAGAAACAAATACCATCAAGCACGGTGCTGGATTCACATGTGTCATGTGTGTGTGCCCCTTGTAGTCACAGGGATTCTTTTGAATTGTTTTGTTTTGTTTTAAGCGGGGGGCCCATGAACACTTGGATGGCATGGGCCAACGAAGACCCATCCAAGCTGTCGTGAAAACGTACCTGCTTGCTGCACCTGGGCAAAATATAAGACGCAGCTGGTGGCCACTCTTTCCTCTTTCCTTTTGTAAAGTGCTAATGCATCTGCAGACAAGTGCGGAACGCCGTCAACCTGTCGGATCGACTTCGACTTGCGAGTTTGGCCCCTTCTCCGTTTGAGGACCCCGAGGCTCCAATGGTTTCCTACTTGTAGTATCAGGAAATGGTACATAAGTGTGTCTCTCCTAGTGAGTGAGCCCGTAGAGTGCCTCCCGTGGACCCGTCGAACGGGTGTCTGTCCATGTTCCCCGGCTTTGGGAACGTAGGTGTCCGCAGCGGACAGCAGATGGCTTATGCCGCAAGAATTTGGATTTGTGTCTCATCTTTGGAGTTCCAAGTTGGCTCATGCCTTTACGTGACCGCAGCGGTCAAAGCAGCCAGCCATTTCGGCAGGGCACAAGGTGACCACAGCGGTCGAAGTATTTTTGAGGTTCGTTGGAACCTGTCCCATTCCCCTTCACACACCTTTTTTTCCTCTTTTCTTTCATGTCCTCCTGTCTTCATGTCCGTTCATCTCATCCTTTTCTTCGTTTGCGCGCGCATTGGTCCCGGCCTTTGTGTGTATGTGCACTTCTACATACCTTTAAACACAGCTTTCAGGTCGCCCAGGTCTTTACAATGAGGTGGGCTTCATCGGGTGTCCCTGTGCACTTGGTTCCCCTTTCATTTCAACCACACGCACCTTTGTCCCGTCTCGTCCTCCTGTCATGTCTTCATTCTTTTGTCTCTTCAATGCGCACACGTGCACATTGGCCCTCACCTTAGCTTTTCGCCTCCCCTCGGGGAGGCGTGTGTGTGTGCCCCTTGTAGTCACAGGGATTCTTTTGAATTGTTTTGTGTTGTTTTAAGCGGGGGGCCCATGGACACTTGGATGGCATGGGCAAACGAAGACCCCTCCAAGCTGTCGTGAAAACGTACCTGCCCCTTCTCCGTTTGAGGACCCCGAGGCTCCAATGGTTTCCTACTTGTACTCTTAGGAAATGGTACCCTAGGCGGCGTGTGGCACCGCTGTCCGTCCGTACGCATATCCATAAGTGTGTGGACTGAGTGCTAACTTCGAAGCGAATTCCTTGCCATTTGTTTGTCAGACAAGCGGCCACCGACACCTTCCATGAGTTCAGCTGCACCGTCAAGACAACATAGTCCAACAGAGCAAGGCTGGCTGTGCGGTGCTGCTTTTTTACGAGAAAGTATTCCAAGGCATTTTTGAAACTAATAATGACACACAGTGCCTGGCCAGGCCGTACGCCTGCTAACATCATTGGCCGCAGGCTGGGTACTCCTGTTGGTCAAGCAGGGCACTCGGTGTGCGATTCAGGAGCTCAGAGTCGAACCTTTTTCGCATCATAGTTTTCTGGAACCCGAGACCGATGCAGCGGCCCAAAGTGGGGAAAGACCCAAGGAGGCACCAACCCTCATGATCCCTCATGTTTCTTCAAACTACCGACTCTACCACGCGACACTTGCAGGCTGCCTCCGATGGAGAACGTCCCTTTCTGGTGTGAGCGCATAACTTCAAGTCCGGTGGGAAGCTGTAGCTGCTTTCTGAAGGCCAAAGTTGCCAGCCAATGGAATCAAAGCGCTTCAGCCCAAAAAGGTTTGTCTCAATCGGTGCTTGTTCAGTAATTCCATGAGGAACAAGTTGAATGCGCATGGCCGCATCCATGAACTCGAAGGTTGCTAGGCCAAGCAGCAGAAGCCTGAATTGCCATGGCACGGCGTAGCTCCTTCAGCGAGAGAGAGAATCCAGAAGGCGGCTGCCATAGTGAAATTTTACTGTCAGGCGCCTAGCAACTCAGATGTATTTGTGTCCCTGTCCAAGTCATTTGTGCACTTGCCAGCATCTTGCCAGTCCAAGCATCTAGGTCCAGAGAGAGGCTTTCTTCCGCCGAACTTCTCCAGTTTGACCGGCGACCAAATGCCCCACCGGTGTGGCCAGCTGTCCTCACAAGCTTCTTGCACAGTGTGAGTTGCCAGCTTGCAAGTGGAAATTGAACTGTGAGACATATACCAGCTTCTGAAACGTTACTGTACTAGATGTTACTAGTAACAAGGGTACCGCTACTAAGAGCAAGGACGCTACTAGGGGCTTGTGGCCTTACTACTAGGAGCAAGAAGCTACTAGTATCGACATGTATCGACCTCAAAATGTCAAGACTTTGCAGAAAACCGCTGGACTTAGGTCTCGGTGCTGCAATGATGACCTGGCTAGAGGTTTGCAAAGAGGTAGTGGGTTCCGGAGGAGGGAAAGAGGATACTGAAGCACAGACCTACTATGGACGACTGCTCGCAGTGAATGGAGTTTGTGAGCTCGTTACCAGCCAGCTTGTGGGAGTAGCAAGCGACAAATACGGCAGACGCAGTGTTCAGATCGCAGCACAATTGGGACAGGTTTCTCGATCGCAAGCAGGAGGTAGTGCCCAGGGTTCTGTTTTTGGAAGGTTTGAGTACTATGATTAGACTACAATCTATGTGAAGATGCCGTTGGCCCGAAGCTTCATACTTAGCCTAACTGTCCGTTTGATTGGCCTTGCGTGGCATGTGTTCCGACCACTGGAAACAAGACTGACAGTTTTGAAGCTCATGGGCCATGCTGCTGATTCTTTCGAGTCTCATGCGCCTCACCTTCACCCTAGCGAGGGTGCACAGCTTATATACTTGTACTCGCTAATGCATCGCTTGATATACCTTTGAACTTTGTGCTATCCTCCATTTGACTCACAAAATCCGGCACATAGTCGGGCTTAAGCCGCCTCATGTGGTGGAACACGGCTACGGATGGCTATGGCACATCAGAGAGACTTGGGTTGGGTCGCGAACCATCCGACTGTTGGGCGGGAACTCTGGCGAGCGATGATAGATCACAGATCAAACATGTTCAAGCCACCAGCGGCAGATAGGGTCACGATCAAGAATTGCATGAGTGCCAGGACAGTTCGATGTACTGTAGTGGTGTCACTAAACCCCTTCCTATATACAAGGGCCACAACACAGCCCACGGATGTGCTGGTGAGGCTCGCACAGTTGCCATGTCATGATCAATAATATATAAATGTGTTGACAATCTTTGTGTCTGCCGGACCCCTTTATTCTAGAAGTTGATCATCTTGAAAAGATAAGGTGATCACAAAATGCAGCCAGAAAAAAACAAAAGCAATCATAAGCAAGAAAAGAGCAAAAAAGAGCAATGCCAAAATGCAGCTAGAAAAACAAAAGCAATCATAAAAGCAACAACAAAAACACAATTGCAAGCAAACATGGAACAACACGGCATGTTTGTAACAAACAAAAAATACCCTTGCAACAAACAGCGTGACAACCACTTCACAAAAGGAGTTACCTGGTAATTACTTACAAAGCAAGTCAAGAAGTAACAAAATTACTGCTACTGCTACTGTACCTGCGAGCGACTGGTTGACTACTGTAACTGTACACCCCTCCAAAAAAGCTCTGGGGCGGCTGACATCTACATGGTCCCTCAGGTTTCTGCTCTCAGCCGAGCTTTCTGGTGCACCTTTTGGAATGGTCCACTTGCGGGTCCACTTTCTGGTGCGCTTTTGGTCGCTCTTTTTTGCCCTTTTGTTGCTATTTGTTGTTTTTCCTTTTTTTGCGCCAAAAAAAAGTAGTAAAAACAAGCGACCAAAAATGCGAAATTTGACCCGGCACCAAGGAAAAAAGATGACCAAAAGTGCGACACTTGACCCAGCACCAGAAAAAAGAAGCAACCAAAAGTGAGACGCTTGACCCGGCGCCAGAAAACCAGTCAGCTGGTGGGGATGAAAGACCCTTGTCTTCCTCACCCTGCCCGGCCCCCTCGCCAAGCTGGGCTCCAACGCGTTGAATCTGAACCTGCAGTGAGTCTGCAGGGGGCCCTTGCTGGGGACTAGTAGCGCGGGTAGTAGCATTGCCTCTATTGACCTTTTGGGTTGACCACGTTAAAGAGTGCCTTAAAGGTTGTTTTGTTTTCTTGGTTGTTTCTTCTTGCTTGTTTTTTGGCTGCACTGTTTGTTGTTGTTGTTGTTGTTGTTGTTGTTGTTTTGCTTTCTTGGTTGCTCTTTGTGTTGCTTGTGTTTTTTGGCTTGCATTTTATGTGTGTTTTTTTTTAAAGATTGGCGGTTTCTAGAATAATACGACCTCTGGTGACTCTGGTGGACACAATGACAACCGCCCTCACGGCAGAGGGCATCAGATCAAGCAATCATGTTCAAGGTTCTTGGGCCTGGCTGCGGGCTTTGCTCAGTGTTTGTCCACACGCTTTGCTGTGCCTTCACCTGGCTGCTTAACTTGTTTGCGCGCATGCGCCAAGTGATTGAAAAGACTTGGTTTCACCATGGCCATGCAAATGTGCTATTCCACTACAATACAATTTATCCCAGACCATGATCCTGAACTTCGCAACCACACCAGCATGCATTCCTACTGGCATACAGTAGTGACTGAAACATACTGAAGCCAACTGTCCACCTCAGGCCCTAAGCATTCCAAATGGGCTGTGACGGCCAAAACCATGCGAATAACAAACTATTACTTTTCCCGACAACCAAAAAGTCCAAACAAGCACCTCACATGATGTCCACCAGTGTTGCCAGACGACCGGAGGGAAGAAACAGTGATTTTAAAAAGATCAACCATGCACCAACAAATCCCCGCGAAATGAGCCTATTGTCGTGCTGTGTCGCCATCTGTTTTTCGTCATGATGTAGTGTTCGCAATGGCTAACTTGGTTGTAATTCTGCAAGGTCGTCGATTACCTTATGGCAGCACTTTGTCTACCTCCTTCATTTGGCTACTTGCCGCAAGTTCAACGAGTGATGGCATGGACCGGGCTGTTCGCCTCTCGGGGAGTAGCTGGACTGCTTGGAAACTACAAGGTGACTTTACAGTCATACACATCGGATATTTCTGGAGCAGAAGAATGCCCCCAGCGCATGTCATATCTTGGAGCGGCCATGGTGGTTGGCATGTGCATGGGTGCCTTTGCTGACATGCTAAAGGAAGTTAAAAACATGTGTTTGTAGAGGAGATGGGGTGCACGCCTGTAATTGAAAGACCCTGAAAGCCCACAAAAGGCAGCATGGTCGTTGCCATTGTGGAGAAGATGCAGCTATCATTCAGGGCTTGCTTTTTGACGGCAACCTGCATGAATGCTATGATTATTGTACTGGACGCCTGGCTTGATCCAGCTTTTGCAATGCTCAGTTTTGCCTCGTGAGTTTCTTTTCTGGACGAGTTCTCATTTAGCACCTCCGCCACCGCTTCCTAAGGTTTTCGTGAAGTGGCGGGACATCGCACCCAGAAAGAACTTTACATGCAGGGAGACCAACCCTTTTGTTGGTTTGCATGTCTTGCGAATCAACCAGGCTATGGCCATAACCTCAGTAGACAAGGGATGAAAGGGGCTGATGTCCAGATAGCTGGAAGCTATAGAGGTTCTCACTTCTCTCACGGCTAGGAGTTTGTGATGGGAAACAACACTCAAACTTCAGCTTATTCGGGGTGGGTCCGCGGGCCAGTGCAGCATCATGGATCACAGAGACTTCAGAGTAATTAGAACCTACTTTATATATCCTTATGCTGATATTTAATAGCATCTCATACCGACTGGCAAGGCCAGCCTGTTTCCCAAGAGCAGCAGCCCCCCTTCCCGCACCCTTTTTGATTGTGCATTGTGGTACAGTGTGGAAGAAGTGCAGCTGAAGTTTGTATGTTGTTTTTGTTGCCCTGCAACTGCTGCGGCAAAAAGGACGGTGAGGCCAGCGGGATTTCATCTAGATGAATCCGAAGAGCCCCGTCCCGTCCCGCCTATCGTTCGTCAACCCGTTCCACCTGGACCGTGAGGTCCAGTCAGGTGGCCCCAACAAAAATATGCATCTACCATCATCTACCTGCGGCGACGCTTTGTCACACAGACCTAGGTGCGAGCGATCAGCCGCGCAATGGGCTCACGTTTTTCCCAAAACAGTTTGCTGTTAGGGGGTCTCAATTCTTTCTTAAATTGTGTCCGCCCTTTGTGTCACTGCTGGTGTCCGCCCTTTTCCGCTGGCCATGCAGCAAATCTATTCATTTGTCTCCCAAGTCTGTCACTGCTGGTGTCCGTTGGGCATGTAGCATTTCTATTCATTTGTCTTCCAGGTCGTGTCCGCCATTTTCCGCTGGCCACGTAGCATGTCTATTCATTTGTCTCCCAGGTCTGTCACTGGTGGTGTCCGCCCTTTTCCGTTGGCCATGTAGCATTTCCATTCATTTGTCTCCCAGGTTTGACTGCTGGTGTCCGCCCTTTTCCGCTGGCGATGCAACATTTCTATTCGTTAGGGGTTGTCAGGGGTTGTCAATTCTTTCTTAAGATGTGTCCGCCCTTTCTGTCGCCGCTGCTGGTGTCCGCCCTTTTCCGCTGGCTATGCAGCATTTCTGTTCATTTGTCCCGCATGTGATTGTTTACTGTTGTTTCCCAGGTTTGGTGCTTCCCCAAACATTTGTACTTCCCCAAACAGGATACTGTTAGGGGTTCTCAAGGCTTTCTGAGAGTGTCCGCCTGCTACGGGACAGCGTGTCCGCTTTCCGTCCGGCTTGTCTCCCTTTGTCTCCCTTCTTGTTGGTCACTGTGTCCGCAATCTTGTTGGTCACTGTGTCCGCCTTGTCTCCCTTCTGTCTCCCTTTGTCTCCGGTCTTGTCTCCCTTTGTTGGTCATTGTCCCTTCCGTCTCCTCTTGTTTCCCTTCTTGTTGGTCACTGTGTCCTTTTGTCTCCCTTCTTGTTTCCCTTCTTGTTTCATCTTGTTTCCCTTTTTGTTGGTCCCTTCTGTCTTCCGTTGTCTCCGGTCTTGTCTCCCTTTCACTGTGTCCGCCTTGTCTCCCTTTTGCTTCCTTTTGTGTCCTTGTTTCCCTGTGTCTCCGGTCTTGTCTCCTTTCTTGTCCGGTCTTGTTTCCCTTCTTGGTGGTCATTGTGTCCGCTTCGTCCCTTCGGTTTCGTTTTGTCTCCCTTCTTGTCTCCCTTGTTGTTGGTCATTGTATCCGTTTGTTACCCTTCTTGTCTCCCTTCTTGTTGGCCATTGTGTCCATCTTGTCTCCCTTCTGTTTCCTTTTGACTCCCTTCTTGTTGATGTTCAATAAGTGGACTTGGTGTAATTGGATCGTGCGGGTCCTTATGCAAAAGTTGCGAAAATGGACAGAATTCCGTCATGCCCCGATAGTTTCATCACCTTCAGGTCCTTGGGCAGTGCTTGTTGATTTTGTGTGAGGGCTGGCTACCGGGTCCCTCGTGGACAGGGCAGGGGCAGAGTGGGTAAAGTAAAGCAAAAGCCATCCTCGGTGTTTTGAAATGTGCAAGTCACAAGCTTGGCTTGTCGGAATTAAGCGTCCTAACATCGCCGCTGTGGAGGTTTTTGATGGTTTGGTTGGGGCTGCGGTGGAATGACGTCCAGCGTCTACACATGTTTTCATTTTGCTGGGATTGCACTTTTGTGCAGGGCCAGGTTTGGACAAAGATGGTTTCTTGGTTTGGCATGCTGTTTGGAGTTTGGCTTCTGAAGTGACCCGGGCCAACTGGGGGGCAGCTTTTGCGAAATGATTGCTACGCCTGAGCGAAGATGTACGTATACCTGTGGGCGTCGACGTTCTGGGTCGCCCAGTTGGCCCTGCCACTAGATTTGACGGCGGAGCAGGTACGTCACAAGCTGCCAAGTCAGTGCGTTTCGAACTTTGGCCACAAGTGGAGTGCCATTGGAAGATCATATCTGAAATACAGAGCGGGAGGGTTCCACACACTCCGCTGAATCAGGGTTTACGGGACGACAGAGCAGTGCTGGCAGACCTGTGCTTGGAACCGAGTCGGAAAGCGACGACGCGCAGAGCGCTGCGATATCGAGTTTTGAGGGGATGAGGCCGAAAGTGATTCAGGCCATGAGGAGTGGCGAGGCTTTTGCGGGGCAGCCTTGAAGGAAAAGTGCGCAAAGGGAGCGTTGCAGGTTGCTGCCCAAAAACAGCTGTTACCACAGTAACCCTGCTGTGCCCTTTTGGATTTTGGGCTGTGGTACAGTGTGAGCCTCCTTCCCCTTGATTGGCCCAAGAGCCTGTCTACCATTGCAAGAAAAGTGCGCAAGGGGTGTGTGTAGTGTAGTCTCACCACCGACCCCATTGCACAACCAGCATTCCACAAGCGCGTGCCGAGCCTGCACCAAGCCCGCGCAGGGTGATCCAGCTTGTGTCCCACCTGTTGTGGCCGCAGCCTGGCTGTCGGGAAGTTTGCCTTTGGCTTTTCTCCCGTCATGTATGGTGGCACGCTTGTGGGTGTTGAAACTGTGCGTGGGCATTGATGCGGCGTGCTGAGACCCCAACGTGGTATGATGACATGTTGCTTTGCAGCTGTGTCATGAAGTCGCTCATATTCTGCTCACTGTGTTGTCTTCATTGTGCCGTTTTCTTGTTCCACTCGGAAGTTGCCCTATGGGGACAGAGCCACTTGTTCAACCTGAGGTGATGTACTCGACCCTTGTTTTCTTGAGCGCCTTCTCGTTGAACATGTACACTAGCACATTGAATTTCTACTGCGAAAAACTTCTCAAGATGCCAAAGTCTACGTTCATAGCGCTTGGCACAATGTGGGCAATGGAGTCCTTCATCCTTCTGGGCTTTGTGCAGCCCATGTTGATACGTCAATTTGGTGAGATTGGGACTTTGCAGCTGTCCTTTGCCTCAATGATCGCTTTCTATTTGCTTTTCTCCATGCTGACACCAGATATCAACGCCTGGGCCTTCATCATTATGATTCTTTTCGCAGTTGGCTCAATGGCCTATCCTTTAGCAGTTGGGCTGGCAACTCGAGAGTTGTCATCAGATCAGCAGGGCTTATTGCAGGGGGCTGTTTCCATCCTGGAAACTCTTGCAAAGATCGTAGCACCATTGGTAGCCTCAGATGTTCCTTGGCTGCCCCTGGTTAACCCTGTTTGCGTTTAGTTGCTGTTTTTGCTGCTTTGGCCAACTTGTTGGTGGCAAGGTCATCATCCCAAGATTCAACAAGCCCGATCAGTTCTTTGGAATGGTCTATTTCGTTGCTGGATTGCTGCTGTTGCCTAGCCTTGCATGCTGCCATAAATTACATTCTTTGACCGGCAGGATTGATCCTGATAAGGCTGTAATGCTTGAGATGCACTGAAGGCTAAAATGCCTATATTCAAAGCTTATAAGGTGAAAAAAAGGCTTGTGTGAGATTCGTGACTATTGGTGATGGTCAGGATTCTTGCAGAACTCTGACATTTTGGATCAAAGACATCGGTTACCCTTCATCTCGCCAAACCAAGTAACGAGCTGGTGCTGGCAGAATGGCATTGCCAGTGGAAGCTCCAAGGGATTCAACATTGTGTCAGACATCGAGCAAATGTCTACTGTAGTTGCACCACCTATTGCAAACGTTCACACTGGTAGCGCAGGAGGTCTTCTCAGATATGTGGTACGCCTCCAGTTCTTTCGGGTCATGTTGCTCTTCCAATCTTCCAGAGTTCTCTAGAGCGACCGTGCTCATCGACGCCCCGTTTCAACAAATGGTTTAGTCAATGAATGCCAATGACAAACAATATTTTTTGCCTCCTAGATGGTAGTGTTGCCCAATGTCAAGACAGTAACTAGCCAACAAATCCTTCAGCTTTGGCATTGCCCGGTCGATCGCTTAGGGGATGTGGTCATTTGGGCGATGCGTTTTGCGCGGGCACAAATGTGCTGAAAGCCGGAGAAGCTCCTAAAGCTTTGTGAGAAAGAGGGGCTAAATGTGCAACCTTTAGGCTAACAAGTCCATCGTGACTAATGAAAAAGAACCTTGTGATCTAACATGGATGGCAAGTGGCCTTGCCTCTAGAAAATGTCAAGTGTTTCCGGTTAGTCAAACTGCACCGTGGAAATGATAGTGACGAGGCTCAGATGCATGTGTGTTTTACAAAGCCTCGAGAAAGTTGTTGTACACGGCATGGCCATGTATTTTGAGGAGGGTGTGTTGGACACTTGATGTGCTCAGCCTAGACTCATAGTGGATCATTGGATGAGTTCTCTGCATTGAAAAAGTCTAAACACGGTAAAGGTCACATGGACAACACTTCGAGCCAACAACGTCAACAGTGTCCAGCCCAGGCTAGTTGGCATAGTTTGCCATGGCACGATGACACCTGAAAAAGCTCAGCAGGAGTCTCCGACCGATTGCTGTTGATTTGCAATTGTTGTGCCAGAAGGAACAGTACCAGTAAGATCCAAAGTCCCAAAATGTTCACAGTACGCCTCATGCCTTTTGGGTTTGGTTTCAGATAAGCTGGGAACAGGAATTCATAGGGGCATATGGATAGAAGCCTTTGGCATGACTCCAGCAGGCCATCATACCCCCCCCCCCGCATAGATTTTTTGTTTTTGATTTGGTTTGCTGTCCTTGGCCGGGTGATCCAATAAAGGTGACCCATGTGTATAGTTCAGAAGATCTCAGCTTAAGACCTCAGTGAGTGTAAGACATGCGTTAGTGCGAAATCGCTGTAGGAGGTGAATCTTCTCGTGGGTTTCTTGGCTTCCTACGCCTTCCGTGCCCTCACCAGTTCTGCTGAGGCGAAGAGCTGGGCGGAAGGTCAGCAGATTTCTTGAGAAGGTTGCCCTGAAGAAAAAGAAACTGTTTTGGCATCCGAGGCTAGTGGAAACAAAGGTGAGTATTTATATATCAGTATCAGCATTGGCAGGATGAACAACACAGTGGTGTTGGCTCACCGCCAAGTCCGTTATTCTTAGCCAGTAGTTCATTCCCACAAAACATTCCCAAGCCCTTGACAAATGTCGTCGATCTACCGTACTGTATTCTATTGTTGTTTGCTCTCCATGTCACCCTTATCCAGCCCCCACTTTTGGAGCTGCACGCCTTGGCTCTCAGTGCACCAGAAGCCGCTGCCCTGGTAGCATTTTCCTGGGTGATCTTCCACTTGGCTACTCATAGCCTACATTCCCGGACTCGATTTCTAAGCATAAGTAGCAGCTAAGTAACCGAACTTACAAGAATAAAATGGTCAAAGTCTCTTTGTTGATGTTTGTTGTATTTTCTGATTGCAGTTCGTTGGATTGTGGAACACCGTTTCGCCAGTGCCCGCAGCACTCCGGCACCCCTGTCCGACCATGTGGCTGACTCTGGGAAGACTGGCTGTTGCTGGGGTTGCTCTCCTTGAAGCCGGCCAGGGAGCTGTATCTGATGAAGATTCGGTCACTCGTCAAACAAGACACGTTGATACATGTACAGTATTTCAAGAGTACATGGCGCTGAGAGAGGGGCCATAGATGGCGTTTTAGCCAAGTGGGTTCCAAATGTGCTCGGGTAAAAGTAGATGAAACCGGTGACACGTCAGAAAGATGCTACAGTAGAGGCACATTGCGATTCTGTAGTGGAACAACACTTTGTCCTTGACATATCAAATGGAGCTTGACTGTGTGGACTTGGCTGCACTTTAGGTCGGTGCCATGTACTGTTTCCTGTCTGAGCCTAGAAGAAAAAAATACAGCAGAACGAGGAACAGTAAATGGCATCTCGACGTCGATTTTTGGACCACTCACCGCCAAGTACTCTCAAACTAGAGTCTAGAGTAGTTTCTTGCTCCATCCATTCAGGCCCGGTAAGTCAGGGAGATCGGGTCCAGTGGTGTCACTCCTGAGGTGCGATGCGCAGACCAGATCGAGTCAAAAATGATGAAGCTGGCCAAAGAAAAACACAACGATGACATCAAGGTGCTCTTCAAACACTATGACCGAAGCTTGGAGGGGTTTCAAGGATGTTTATGGGGGTGCCATGTTCAACGAATCTTCATCGAAACTGTGCAAACCAAGTGCTTTGTGGATGATAGATTATATAACAGGGGAATCTTTCGAAGACAGTATGTGTTTGAAGCGAGGCTGTCTCAAGTAAAAACCATCCAGACAAGGAGACGAAACAGTCCACTTGCCCATATACGCCGTAAGAGTCAGCACCAGCAAACATACGGTGCTTGGGATGCAGCCCATCATGCACTGATACACGCCATGTCGCAATACCCATGTAAGATACCTTGGAGAAGCTACTGAAAGTGTGTCAACTAGGACCATGATAAGGCGACAATGATGGTGTGATTCACCAAGACGAGGTCAAGGAGGCCGGAACTGATCAGTTAGCAAAGTTTTGTGCCCAACCCTTTGACCGGACCGAATACAAGTGCGAAATTGCGTTCTTTCAAGTTGAGGATGGAAGCAGGTACCACCAATTACCCGCATGGACCCAATCAACCGTGTTTAGTAGTTGTCATTCATTTGACCTACGACCTGCGTTTAAGGCAGGGGCATTGCAGTAGCTGGTGTCAGCTACATAGATTGTATTGTCCCTCGACATGATCTAACAGAGTAGTTTGGATGTTTCTGTTGAAGCAGATGCCAGATCGTCCAAGCACTGCAATCAGGCTATGCAAGCTGCCGGCATCAGTGACGATTGCCATTTGACCTCAGGGTTGATTGAGCACTTGGATGCCAATGGACTCATGGCCAACGAAACCCAAAAACCGCCGTGTGGATGTGTTGCATTAAACTTAAACTGTAACAAGATATGTCATGTCATTACATGTTTTCACATCGCGTTACATGATTTACATGTGTTTACTGTTTGGATGTGTAGCTTTAGAGTGTGTGAAGATCTATTCAAATCTTGATTGGTTTAGGTGGTGAGTCAACGACATGTTGATTCTCAGCCCAAGTGGGAGAGCATTTGATCCTTGTGGCACGCCATGGAGAAAAGACGCTAGTGTTGCGTCTTGAGGAATTCGTTGTGTTGGAAGGGACTTCGAGGGCTTTTCAGTTGAGAGTTGTTTTGGAGTTTTACTTCAACTCTTCTTGTTGGTAGCGGAGCCCTGCGGGGCTGCCGTAGGGCATAGCTGAGTTTGCCGCATGGCTCCTAGGCAGCAGAATGGTCCGGGAACTCCAGCCATGAGACCACCTTCCGCCATTGACTATATGGCCCGGTGGCCAAAGGACATAGGAGAAGCATCCCAGCCCTTGGCACGCAGTGTCCCGGGCAACTGTCGGGGAGGGACCCTGATTCACCAGTGATCCGATCACCAGCTGTATCAACGGGCTTGCGCCTTTGCCCTTGCCTGGGCTCAAAGAACCCCCATCAGCACTCACAGATTTCCCACCAGAAAAAATTTGGCAGGAGGAGAAGTGGCAGCGGCCACCGGCTGCTTCTTGGAGAGATCTTGTATGATCTTCTGTAACAGATTTCTGCACCAACCGCTGAAGAATAGGCTTCAAAATGTGACCCAACTGATCACTCGCCGAGCCTTCTGATGCTTCAGCACGTTTCTGTGCGGATTTCCTGGCTGCCACAGGTCCAGGATGTGAAGCTTCTCCCATCTGCGCACCTCGCACATCATCATGATCAAGACCCAAAGAAGGAGCATGAAGCCTTGTGAAAGCACATCCAAGGCGGCCCGAGATCTTCGCTCGCGTTCCAAAGGGGTGTAGAACTAAGACTTGGCCGGTAAGACGGCTGAAGCTGCCAACAAGGATTTTCAAAGCGTGATTTTGCTGCAGTCCAGTGAGCAGTCACCTGTGGCAGAGAGCATCCTGCAAGGCAGTGACTCGAAGCCCAAGACGGATAAGGACATTTTCCATTGGATCTTGAGAGTGGAATGACAGTGTGGGCTGCAACCTACGACCTCCAAAGCTGCACCTTTGAAGTCTCCTGTCACTTTGGACTTGAAGCCTAGAAAGACTTGCCAGGTCACCACGGCCACCCCGCCTCCTTCTTCTGCATCCAAGCGCTGACATGGAAAAGGAGTCTGTCAAGCAGCAGAAAGTCTTAGTGCGCCGCACGCCGGATACATTGAAATGTGCTACGGTTGCTGGTGATGGAAACAGTCTGCTGTCAGCCTTCTCGCACGGACCAGCTAAGTGGCCCACACCTGAGGGCCAACGCGGTTGAGCGCATGAAGAAGCTCCGGGATCAGTATGCGAACGCCTTCTGCCTGATGGTAAAGTGGGGAAAGACTTCGGTGCTTACCTCGATGCACAAACCAAGCAGGCTGCACGCGGATCGTCCACCGAGATCCAGGCCTTGCGTCGGAAACTTGATGTGACAGCCATTGCGGTCATCCATTTCCTGAAAGTGGACCCTTTGAAGTTCCAGTCAAAGGGAAGGAAAGGCACGATTGTGTTGTGGTATAATGGAATTCACTTCAACTTGCTTAAATGCATCATCGATGAAAAGTTACGCCCCTATGCCAGGGCCGGAGTTGACGACATCATCCGGGCGGAAGCAAAAATCCTCGTACTGTGTGGACGACCAGTGAGACAGTGAGACCGTTTGGGACTCACGGCCTGGTCCTGCGAGCGCCCAGCTTCTTTCCGGATCTTCCAAGGACGTCGCCCCAGTCAATGCGAAGTACCTCGCAAGGGGGTCAAATTCCCCAAGATGCGCAAACGCTAAAGATACGAGCCCGACGGCGCGATAGAATCTGGTTGAGACTTAAAGGCATCCGCATTTTGGCAGAGCCGCTTGTGTCCTCAAGGAATCAGCATGAATCAGCAACACGACGCGTGCTTCCATTTCTGAAAGATGTGAGCTTCCTGCCATGCCAATGTGCCAGTGGCAAAGTGAAAGAGCTGCGTCGCGTTCGTTCCAGCGTTGTACCCTTGCCACCGTCGAGTGGTCCGGGGCCGCACTTCGGAGCGTTGTTGAGTCTGATTGGCAAGGCATCCGGCTTAGACGATTGGGGTACCAAAAGTTTGTTAGCCTCCTGGCAGGCCATCTGTTTGGAAGCGTGCTCGTGTGAGTCTGATCCCTAACCCTAGCGGGAGCCTTCGACCTTTGAGCCTTCTCACCGTGGCCTGGCGCATCGGTGCCAAATTCTTGGTACGGAGTCTTCGGTTGTGGGCGCAATGGCTTGATCGCCGTACGTTGGGTGGTATTCCTGGACGTAGCTTGCTGGAAGCTCACTTGAGATGGTGGCATGCCATGGACAGTCACGCTGACGATGTGACTTTCGTAGTGCAGGATTGGCCCAAGTTTTTCGGCGCGATCACCTCGAGCTTGTCCTGAGGCATTTAGGCGCCATGAGTGCTTTCTCGGTTGGAGCGCCAAGTTTACACTGGCGTGACTCGGGGGTTGGCGCGGGGTCGCCCGTTGTCACCGCTCCTGGCTGCATCCATTATGCCATTATATATGCATCTCTGGTGCGCCCATGTCACCAACCGCGACACCAAGTGCCTGACCTTAAACGATCGTCGCTTATGGGCCTCTTCCGTTGAAGCCCTCTTGCTGCCAAAGCTCGAGGTGATGCAGTTGATGCCTTTTCATACATTGCGGCGCCACATTCTGACGCCACATTCCCTGACGCCAAATTCTCCCCTGACGCCACGTTCTTCGTATCCCCTGTGTTTTGTAGTGCCCTAGGTCCCCTAGGCATGTCTACGCTATACTAGTGTAGCGCTTGTTGTCCGTACATAGCTTTGTAGTTTACTCTTCGGTAGCTTTACAGCTTAATTCATTCCTTTACTTTTGGCTCAAGACTGATCTTCCAAACTGCATAGTCAGTCATAAAGACGACAGCAAACGGCGAGCGTGCAAGGTTTTGTGAAACCAAGCTCCTGTCACCAACCGAATGAAAACCGCGCGCACACAAGCTTGTTGAAGGTCGAATTTAGAAACGCAAGGTGGCACCCGATCGTCCAAACCGTAAGCTAGTCCCAAAAAATGGCCAGAAAAGATGGCTTCTTGAAGTCCTGTAGGTCCAAGTTGCCACCTTGTGTTTCTAAATTCGACCTTCAACAAGCTTGTGTGCGCGCCGGTTTCATTCGGTTGGTGACAGGAGCTTGGCGATGCAGTTTGGAAGATCAGTCTTGAGCCAAAAGTAAAGGAATGAATTAAGCTGTAAAGCTACCGAAGAGTAAACTACAAAGCTATGTACGGACAACAAGTGCTACACTAGTATAGCATAGACACGCCTAGGGGACGTAGGGCACTACAAAACACAGGGGATACGAAGAATGTGGCGTCAGGGGAGAATTTGGCATCAGGGAATCAGGGAATGTGGCGTCAGAATGTGGCGTCGCAATGTGGCGTCAGCGTCGGGCGCAAAAGTGCTACACCATGTGGGGGGCGCCCTGGCTCAAGTTTTGTCGGTTTGTCAAGACTTTGATTTCGCAGCGGCAGATGATTTAGACTCTGACCGCAGCGAACAGTGAGCTGCAGCTGCGCATTGAAGGTGACACAAGATGGCGTGTCGACAATGATTGCCAAAATTCCAGGATCCTCAACAAAGATAAAACGTGTCACATCAGTTGGACAAGGCTGCAAGAAGAGACCAGCGGCGATGTTCCTACTCCACCCCATGGGCGGGGTGAAGATAGAGATGGACAGATCGAATATTGAATTGAAGATCCATCCAATTTTTGGTGGGTTCATGTGGTGGGTCAACGACATGTTGATTCTCGGCCCAAGCGTGGCGCACCGTGGAGAAGAGACGTTAGTGCTTTTGTCTGGAGGATTTCGTTGTGTTGGAAGACTTCCGCGGACCTTTTCAACTGAGGGTTGTTCTGGGGCTCTACCATCAACTCAACTCGTTGGAATGGCGTGCGGGAGCTCTTAGGTGGAGTGGCAAGTTGGAATAGGTTGCCGGAACTGCAACACTTGGGTATGGTCAGGGAAATCGGTGTGTCACGCGTTGTGCTCATATTTTCAGCATGGTTGTTTGCGCAACGCTGCCAACTGTTGCTCAGTGGCCAAACAGTTGTTTGGTGTGGCAGTGCCTGCTGACTCAATGCTGCGTCAGGAGACGGCACGCTGCAACACAGCGAGCTATGACCCCAAGAGCGTCACTGGCTGCTAGCCCTTGCGCACATGGACAACCTCGCGGAATGAGGTTGCGCGCCACAAGCATCCTGCGCCCCGGGCCTGCACCAGTCGGTCCCCATGTAGCGATGTGCTTTTTGAATGTCGTAAAGTCAAAGTCACGAAGACTCTGAAAGTGAGCCGATCTTCTTCACGTGGACCTTTGAGCGAAAATCCCGGCTTGGCTTGGGACAGGTGTTCTTCTTCATAGTTTGATGCCTATGTGACGTGTGTTGAATTAAGAGGATTGCGTTTGGAGATGTTTGGGGTGGGCAAAACCAGGTGTTCTGCAAAGGCCTTCTGGCTTTGTGGGCTGTGGTCAAATTGAAAAACCGTTCCTGCAGGGTATAGCCGTGAGGCGAAGCAGACGCGTAAGACGCGCATTCATTTGGGAAGCGCTATGCTGCAGACGTCGCAGAAAAAGAACATGTTTCGGCCCTCCTTGCAGCCAGAGGTTCTATCCCAAACTGGATTCACAGACCACCTGTATTGAAGGACCATGCGTGAAAATTTGGGTTTCGCATTTCAGATCCTGAAGTTGCGTCGATTTTTGCATGAAACGTAGGGCCAATGCAGGTACTTCAATGTTTTTCATGAAACCGCATTTTCCAGATGCTCCAGGTATCCAATTCTAGTGCCCCAAATGAAGTTGCCAGGCGTGGCTGCGGCGGACCTGCCATTTATGCATATGTGGCCGACTTGCCCGTGAGGTGCGCAAGCCCTGGCTGATTGAGTAGAATGAACGATCAATGTATCAACAAAGGTTGATGTTGTTCTTGGATTGCAGTAGTTGTCGTGAGACAGAGGCAAGTAAGAGGGTTTACGTTCACTCAGGCACATGCAACACAGACAAGCAGCACAAGTCGCAATACGTTCTTGTTGGTGACACTTGTTGTGGGGATCCCCGAGCTTGATTGCCAGGGAGCAGTCTTGGCAAGTGAACGTGGCTTGACATGGCGGGAGGCTTCATCTGACGCGTTACTCAGAAGGCTGTCAAGCAGGCTTTGCGGCCATTAGCTAAGAAGGCCTCTCAAAACAGTCTAAAATGTCTGTGTGTGTGAGCGGCAGATCACTAACAAAGATGCCCATTTGATCTGGTGATATCAGAGTTGGCCACTCTGACGTGCCTGCTGAGCTGTGGTGTTTACAAGCTGTCACTCTCATCTTCTTTAAAGGGCCAATACTTGCTGCAGACTTGCGCGATCCGTCGTCATCCTGTCGCGATTCGGCTTTTGGAGTTCGTGGGCCTTGGAGGTTCTCACATGTTGGCATGTTAAATTTCAGCCTTTGCGATGGTCGAGCTCCACTCCATTTACCTTTAGGTTTCCTTGTACCTGTACTCTTCGGAATATGGTCACGTAGGTTGCTGTTTGGCGAGTGGCATTCAATTCAGCACGCATTATCTTGAGTGTGTCTGGCTTCATGCCAGTCCAGGGCGTGCCAGACGAGTGGCCCCGTCGAACGGGGGTATCTCTCTGTTTCCACGGACCGGAAACGCACGTGCCCATAGCGCCATAGCGGGCGGAGTAGGCTTGAGCCAAAGTTATTTGCCAAGACACGCCGGATTACTGAATCTAAGCAGGCAGCCGGCACGCCAGAACGTGTCCGCAGCGGACAGTCAAGGTCCATTGGGACCTGTCGCTACCTTGGGTGCACACACAGTGCGTACAGGTTAAACGAGGCAGGTCTTCCTAAGTTTGTTTAAACGAGGTTTGGTTTCGTTGGTTTCCGGCCCCTCCATTTGGTTTCCGTTGTTCATCCTTTTTCTCTTTACACACTTCCCTTTCCTCTTTCGTTTCATGCGTTTCTGTCTTCATGTCTTGGCACCTCATCCTTTCTCTTTTTGCGCGCGCATCGGTCCGGCCCTCAGCGTGCATGCGCACTCGTACACTAAATCCAGGTTGGAGGTCGCCTAGGTTGTTACAATGAGGTCTGGCTCATTTGGTTGTTCCTGGTCGCTAGGTTCCCTTTCATCGCAACCACCTACACCAGCCTGTCTGTCTCCCTCATGTCTTCATCCGTTTGTCTTCTGCGCGCGCGCACACACACTTACACCATAGCCTGACCCTTAGTCCTAGCTTTTGCCCCCCCTCTACGGGGGGCGTGCGTGCGTGACGCCCTTGGAGTCACGGATTCCTTTCAATTGGTTCACCTCCTTGTTTTTTTTATAGCAGGGGTAGCGGCAGATCACTTGGGACAGCTGCCAACTGTCACTCTCATCTTCTTTAAAGGGCTACTACTTGCCGCAGACTTGCGCGATCCGTCGTCATCCTGTCGCGATTCCGGTTTTGGAGTTCGTGGGCCTTGGAGGTTCTCACATGTTGGCATGTTGAGTTTCAGCCTTTGCGATGGCCGAGCTCCACTCCATTTACCTTTAGGTTTCCTTGTACCTGTACTCTTCGGAATATGGTCACTTAGGTTGCTGTGTGGTGAGTGGCGTTCAATTCAGTACGCACTATCTTGAGAGTGTGTGTGTGTCACTGCTAGGAAGGTTCGCACCTGTACTAATACCGACACCAGGAGCACAAGTTCTGAACACCCAAGTTCAGTCACCTTATGCAGTTTCCCGCGTTCGCTTGGCGAGGCCAAAGTGAGGCTTGATTCCAGTGACGATTTGCAGATCTTAGCGCTGGCAACCCTCAGGCCCCGACTCGGAGTTTGCAGCAGCAGTTCTTTGGCGCAGGGCATTCCTGACTCCAGGCCACTGACAGCCCTCATCTTTTGACACTTTATGTGGGAAAAGGGGATGAGAAAAGACTTGTATGTTGAGTTTGCAGCAAAAAACAAAATGCCTGTTTTTCCGTAGAACTGCATAAAACTGTGTCGAGCTTTGGGCAGGTTTGGGTGCACAGTCTTCATTACATTTGGTACACTGTCCATTTTGGCTCAAGCCAAAAGTGGGACAGTGGAGTTTCTGTTCTGCTTAACTTTTGCTGTGTTTGCTGTGGATGGCTTCACAGCATATCGTCGGTGTGCGTGTCGCCATGTTCACTGATGCTGAGGTGCTTTCGCCCGCCGCGTTCATCGAGTTCCGTCGCCAGGTCGATGCTCTTCTGGCCCGGGGGGACCGGGCAGGCGCGTTGCGGCTTTGGAGCTCGGTGGTTCTATTTGAACACATGCCTCCGTCTTCACGCCCGGGGGACGGGCCCTCAAGTTTCCCTCCTATGCGGCTTTGAGTCTGTTCCAAGAGTGTATACCCACGGTGCGATCAGGGGCGAGGGGGCTATGTCTTCCCGTGGGTCGGGATTTGGAACCGGCGCGGGACGATCGTGCCACCAGGGTTCACTCCTCAGCAGGCCTGGGATAGGCATGCTCGGTTGGACGCCTCGATGGGCCTCCTCTTGTTGCAGCCCGTGCGTACCCCGTATTCTGCAGACAATTTTGTGCCCTCCTACCTGCGGGAGTTTCAGCAGAAGGTTCCCGGGGATTTTGACCTCTTGCCCCTGCAAACTTTTCAATCTGAAGTTCTCTACTACATGCGGCACTGGATTTTGGGATCACCACATGGGTTGTGGTCCAACCCCTTTCGTGCCCCGCTGCCAGATATTGAGCACTTGCCGCGCCATCTGGACGCCCTTCACCCGAAGATTCGTGCCCATCGAGCCCTTCGTGGATGGTTGGGACCCTCAATCAACGGAGAGTCTGAGTTTCCTCCAGCGTGTTGCGGCTGTGGTGATCCCACTTACCGACAGTGCCTTGGTTGTATCAAAGGAGTGTGTTCCGCCTGCTTCCCAGTGCTCCAAATCTGTCCGGTTTGCCGCGAACTTTCGTCGTCTGATGACGATAGTGGGTAGTTCAGCGGGTGCGCAAGCCATGGTGTACCGTGCGCAAGTCGCTGAAGCAGTGGAGGCTCCGCCGGATGAGCCAGCCTCGTCTGCTGGTTGGCGAGCGGAGGATAGCCTCGCCCGAGTGGCAGGGGCTCGCGCCATCACCTGGCGGCGTGAGCGGGGCTACGAGAAGGACGAGGACTTCGCATTTGCCTTCTCTACCTGGGAGGAAGCCGTGGCCGTGGGAGGCCATTTCTTGGCAGATGCTTGGCTGGCAGTCCGTGTTGCCCAACACAAAAAACTTCTTCCTGCAGCTGCTCGTCTGATCGAGGGGGGGACCTCTGGTGCCGGACACACGTCCTCCGCTGGCTCGCAAGAGGAAAGAAGCTCCACTTGAGGCGGGGGTACGCCTTCATGAGCGCGTCCAGGATCAGCCTGAGTCCATACAGCGCCAGGTGTTGGCCCTGCAGAAGGTGTTCCTGACGGTCGGCGCCTTGAAGCCAGATGGGCTGTTGACTGAGGCCCTTAAGCGGGATTGGCAGGCATCAGTCCTTCGTTTGGCCCAGACCAAGGTGGCGGAGTCTGAGTCGGCGACGATTCAGAATGCCCTCCACACTTACGGGGAGGTGCACGCCTTTTTGCTCCACCGAGGGAGGTCGTTCCCTCCGGCCTTCGTGGACATGGACAACTTCCTGCATCAGGGGACGATGACCCCTACCCGCGCGCTCAATGCGCTTCGCTGGTTGTGCAAGCATTCAGGAGCTCCTTGGGACATCGGCCGGCTTCGTATCTCCCCTGAGTTGAAGAAGAAGGCCACCTCGACGAAGAGTCAAGCCCTTGTTGTGGAGCCCGGCATGCTGCAGGTGTTGGAGGAGCGCACTGAGAGCATGTGCTGTGGGGGGGGACCCGCGATGGACATGTCTCTTAGGTTCCTGGCTCGTGGCCACTGGTTGCTTGAGGTACCAACATCTTTGCCGGTTCACTGTTCGCCGAATCAGTCCATTGGTGTTCCATGGCCACTGTCGCAAAGGCAAGCAGCGTCACGCCCGAGGTGGATTTGACTGGTGTGCTCCTGCCGAGCTTGCTTCTGGCTTCAACTGGACTGTTGATTGGCTTAAAGCCTCGAAAGCCCTTTCTCCGGTGGCCCAGAAGAGTTCAGGAATTTGCTTTGACAGGCGTGGGACGCCTTGGAACATTGCTGAGGTGCAGCACCTCTGCCAGTCAATCTTCGCCGAGTTCCTGGACAATACCGAGCAGTTGACCACCTACTCGTGGAGACGCATGCTTCCCACCGTGGGCCACATTCTGAATATGTCGTCCTCTGACCTCTGCTCCCTTGGCGATTGGCAGGACAAGTCAAAGGAGCCGGCTGAGGCGGGAATGGCACTCCACTACTCGCCCAGTCGCTTCGCAACAAGATCCTGGCAACTTCAGTGGCCCACAGCTGTGAGGGTCACAGCTTTTGGGAGGAGGTGCTTCCTGCTGACTTGGATGGTTTCCGTGAGGTGGCCAAAGAAACGCTCGCCTTGGCCATAGCGAAGGACAAGGAGACGCGGCATGCTGCCCAGCCAACCAAGGAGTCGCTGAAGACCCATCTTCAGTTCTCGAGGGCCCGGGTCGCAACAGCAGCGGCCAACAAAATCCGAGGAAGCACCTCGCGCCCGACGGTGTCCATGCCGGATGCCATTCGTGGTCGCGTGCTGACGGCTTTCTTGAAGAATGGGCGTCGCCTTTGCGGGGCTTTCCAGACGCCCGAAGGTTGCACGGAGGGAGAAGAGGTTTGCGGGAACGCTCACCTCTGCGCTGCGCTTTTGGCCCGGGGGCGGGCTTGTGGAGGGAGCCACGGTGCCTTTATTTGCACCGAAAAGAAGTATTTGCCGGCCGAGACGCCAGTTCCAGTTCGAGCATCGACGACACCGGCTACTACTACTACGTCCTCGAAGGCAAAACCCTCCGCAAGCACCAAGCGCAGACGAGAGGCTTCACCCCAGCCGAGTGCTCGGCCAGATGCAGTAGAGGCACCATCTCCACGGCCCAAGACGCCTCCGAAGGCGCTTCCACACAAGGCAGTTCCGCCCAAGCTGATTGCCACATCGGCCAAGAAGAGGCCAAGAGATCCGCGAGATCCTTCACCACCGCCACTTGCCAGGACTCCCCCTTGGAGACAACCTTCAGAGCCAGCACCGAGTACCCTGCCCATCCCGGCTGTGTCGCCAGGTCCTCAGCACATTGGGACCGTTTGGCCACCTCCGAAGGGCGTGACACTCTCGCCCCTACCCTGATCATGACAACCCGGTCAAGAGGCCAGCTGTGGCTATCGGGTGTTCCCATTGCTGAGACGGTGCAGCACTTTCCAAAGACCACAATACCCCGAGGGTCGGGGAGGCGTGTCATTGCCGCAGGCATGCGTCATGAAGGTTCAGATGGGCAGCAAGCGCATGGACCAAGAGTTCAAGACTGCATGGCCTCTCATTCATCAGAGTCTACATTGTGGTGATTCCGTGCTCGTGCACTGCATGGCTGGCAAGCATCGAGCTCCTGCCTGTACAGCCCTCATCTATGCACTCATGATGGGCACCTCAGTGGATGAAGCAGCCGAGAACCTGTGCACTGAAGGCCGTGTCGCTCTGTGCCAATTCAAGCAAGGCGAAGCTCGAGTTCAGCAGAGGCTCAAAGACGCCCACTTCTACAGCAGCTTCATGGAAGCGAGTACGTTTGCCCGTCCTGTGTGCGGACCGTGCTGGAGCAAAGCCCCAGCCTCCTGGCAAGCGCGACATTGAGCTGCTGAGCAGCCGGCCGGCCCAGTGGTCGCGGGACGGCTGCGCCCCATAAGAGCAGGCGGCCTCCGTAGATGCCCCTTTTTGTAGACTACGTCACGTGTAGACTACCGAGGCGACCGGAGAGCGCGCCATCAGCGGAAAGAACCCTGAGGGTCAGTGAGTCTTTTGCTGCGTCGCGGTTTTCCTTTTTGGGGGGTTATCCCCAAACCAGCAGGAATGCTGTGTGGCCGGGGGTTCCAGGCCTTTGACACAAGCAGTGTGTGATTGATCTGTGTTGTTTCCAGAGCTGAACTGCTTGCATGTCGTCCATGTGCACCTAGGATCTCCGCCTCGCCAGCTCCTTTTGGCCGACAGAGGCGAGGTGGGTCCTCGTGGTACCACTGTGTGAGGTGGGTCCTCACTTTACCTAGGGAGGGTCCCTGTGTCCCCGCATGGCGTCTAGCTTGCAACTCGTGCCGAGTGACGGTGCGGATGCTGCGGCTACTTTCCGCCAGTTAGGGATTAACTTCAGCATAGCTGAAGCGGTCACCGATGCTTTGGTCAAGTGAGGACAAGGTGCAACCGTGGTTGTCCAAACTTTTGTTGGGCGAGGACGCCAACCTTCAGGGGGCAAGGGTTCGTCGGGCGTGGGCCGCCGTATCGCTCTATTTCAAACAATCCGAACAAGATCGGTCTCGCATCTCAGCATCTGACCTAGATGCATTGTTGGGCGACTCCGAACTCCGGGATTTGAAGAGCGCCTTCTGGCGCCGCTACAAGCTGCGGTTCCCCCCTGAGGTTCACCCTGCTGATGCCACGATTTCTCGGGTTACACGAGAACTCACCAAACGCATGTTGTGTGTGTGTACAACATTTGGCGAGTGAAATCTCTCCAATTCCAGCAGGCCACCACCCAAAAGAAAAGAAAGATCGCTGATTCTTTGTATGTTGAGGAAGCTGAGGAAGATGAACCTGCCAGTCGGGATGCCAACTCCTACCTGGACAAGCTCTGGACTTTACTTCTGGCCTACGCGATGGCGGGGTCCGCCTCTTGTGCCACGGCCCCTAGCGTAGCCGAGGGATTGGGGCCCAATTCTGTGGAGTATGTTGAAGCGCC